TCTTTTATTTGCTACATACCTATAGAAGCCATTGTTACTGTAAACAAGAGAAACATGATCACTACTAGTACCTAATGCAGGTGATTAATGATGTGCTTCTAACTGTCAAAACCTAGCTGGTTTTCTTTACATAAAGTGATTTTAAATATATTTATTTTTCGGTGTGTTTGAACACCAGTTAAGTTCCCTTGGTCCAAATATGTCCTTTGTTGAAGATTTTACATATAATCATGTGTTAATGTAGCAGGTTTTGTAAATGGATATATTGTTTTAATCAACAAACAAGCTAGGTTTTTTCAGATTTAAGGCATGATTCTGTCATCTTACTTTGGTCAAGATTCTTGAAGGCAATACAGAAGTTTGACTGTAGAAGTTTGCTTACGTAAAAATGGCAAGGTTTGGGAGTACTCATTCCTAGGCTTTTATTTCATTCATAATTAAAAACAGGTTTCTGTGTTTAACTGTTGTCTGCACTAAGTAGTGCTCAGTCCAAAGTCCTGGATATTTTTAATGCTTTGGAAAAATAATGCAGATTTCTAGGAACTGAGAGATAAGCTAGTGCTTTTTAAATGGTTTAAATGATGAACAAGGTAGTCAGAGGACCTGTGGAATCTTTATATTTTGGAAACATTATCATCAATAATTTGTGGATAAATCTCCTACTAAAAGATTTTCAGCATGAATTCTGAGACTTCCGCTGTAGCAAAGTGATTTGTTTCAGCTGCAGAATAATTTATTCCTTTCCTCAGCTTCCATGCCTGAACTCCTATGATAGCTACTGCAGCAATCAAGTAGCAGCTAAAGCTTTATTGGATCACAAGAAACAAGATCACAGAGTGCAAGATTTCCTACAGCGCTGCTTAGAGTCTCCTTTTAGTCGCAAACTGGACCTTTGGAATTTCCTTGACATCCCGAGAAGCCGTTTGGTTAAATACCCATTGCTACTCAGAGAAATTTTGAGACACACCCCAAATGATCATCCAGATCAGCAGCACCTTGAAGAAGCTGTGAGTTACTGTTGGCTTTGGGGTTTGGTTTATTTTTTTTTTTAGTAGATTACAGCATTTTCTGGTTATTGATGAATAATAAAGTGATATTCTGCTTCAGCAGATCACTGTTTATCTTTTGAGGTGATGTATTCCGTAAATTGTGTATTTGCCAAGTTAAATTAGGAAAGAGAAATTACTATGTGGTTGGCTCTTGACACTGTTTTAAGCTTATGAAGTACATTTCCTGTCTGGCAACCTGCTCTAAACACATTGGGCCGAGCTGATCCCAAATACATATCCTGGAATCAGTTGTTTCTTGCATTATCTGTTTGGGCATGTATATTTCAACCCATTCCTCTGCTCCACCTCCAATTATCTAACAGGAATTTGATCAGTCTAAGCAACCTGTGATCACTAGCACAGTTGTCTAAAATCAATAGACCTTCACATCCACATGCTCAATTAAGGAACCATATTTTATGTTTTGGTTACATTGGTCTCAAGGTCCTTAAAGACTGCACGGTATAAAAATGTTGAAGATGGGGGAGTATTTTTATAGAAAGGGCAAAGCTTTTTTTTTTTTTCTCTTAAGTAAAAAGGGAAGATCATTATTACTTTTAATTGTAAAATTGTAGCTATGTGCAAGTAGTGGAATTGTAAAATAAAATTAATTTACCTTATTTCCAGAGGGTAATTTTCAGAGTGAAGAAAAGTTGAGAATTCAGTGGGTTTGGATAGTTGCATGTTTTGCAGGGTAAAGATCTTAACAGGTCTTCTGTTTCTTGTTCTCTGATATGATACAGCAGTTTTCAGAGAATTACAATCCATTTTAAATAAATATCTTTAAAGCAGGTTTTTTGTCCTGTGTCATTTACTGGCACATTTCAGCTGACAAAAAAACATCTCTTGTTACATTTCTTACATCTGTTTATCTTAATTCTGCCTATTTCAGTTTGATATATAGAGACAAATATCAGATTTTTAAGCCATTGTTAGAAACAGTGGTGAAGCCAAACTGAACTGTCTTTGTACACTGTAGCCTGCTTAATTCTGTTCCTAGTATTTATACTCTTATAGATTGGTCTGCAAAAAAAAGATGAAAAATATACTGTAAATTAAAATGTATTTTCTTATAGCTACACTTCAGATTATTAGGAGATTGTGCTGACTATTGGAATGTCTAACTAAAGTTCATGGTTTTTTCATTGTTTTTCTGCAGATAAATATAATTCAGGGCATCGTGGCTGAAATCAACGTCAAAACTGGTGAATCTGAATGCCGGTATTACAAGGAGAGACTTATTTATCTTGAAGAAGGCCAAAGGGATTCACTGATTGATAATTCCCGTGTTGTATGTTGTCATGGTGAACTGAAGAACAACAGGGGAGTGGTAAGAATAAATACTTTGTCATAAATAGCTTTTAAAGACATCTTCATTTTGCATGACAGCTAAAAGCTGTGAGTGTGCAGACAAACATTACCCTCTCATATATAGGAAGTTGATAAGTATTATCTGTAATACTCATCTTTTTTGTTAGCAATCAAATATCTGTATTATGGAGATAAGCAGCTATATGTGTCATGTGTGTCTCTGTCTCTTAGGGAGACCTAACAATTTCCTGGCTGAATTGTAAATCTGATACATTTCAATAACATGTGTAGGGGCAAAAAAGACAAATAAGAAACATACTTTTGGACTTAGAGACATGACAGTAATGTCTGTAACAACACACAAAATGTACTAACAAATGTTAAGTCTGTTAAAGGCTGCATTATAAATATTGGTTTACTTGATTATTTGTTGAAATCAAAGCTAATTGATTGACCAGAGGAATTTGGAATTTGATACTGCAGATTCCAGACTCCAGGAGTCCACGCTATTGATAAGTATCATAAGGTGACACTTAAGAACATGCAGATTAGTAGAGAGATTAACAGAAGAGAAACAAGTCATCTTAGATTTATTTTTTCCCCAAGGTTAAATAAAAACAACATGAAATTTTGAATGGACAAACAATGAAACCAGATCTTTTTCTCATTAGCTGACCTTAATAAAGTCTTATTAGAAAAACCCAACTAAATAGAATCCTAAATGCATTTTTCAGCATTGGGAGTTGCTTCTATGTAATATGCTTGTGCGTATAATAGAAGGATCATGTTTTGTCATACAGCTGAGATAGCTAAAATGGATGCTGTTTTCTGGTTCACCTGATAAAGATCAGGCAGGCAGTTAATGTATAGCTAACTATCACAAAGAAACTGCCAATTTTCATCTTTCAGTGAACTTTCTTCCATGCACACTACCTCTGCCTTTCTTTGGGAGCATAACATAAACTTGCGCCACCTAGGAGCAAAAGTAATTTTTTGAGCTTTAAAGAGCTGTGGTGAAGCTGTTTGTAAGTAGCATGTGAATTGTAAAAGTATTGCTCGGAATTGGGCATTAAAAATATTTGCATGAGTAAGATTGCCTGTTTCTTAGTAACACAGACAGTAGAGCAAAGTTAAGTTGGGTGTCAGAAAGAAGACTGCATATAGGCATGCTGCTGTAGAGTGCTTTGAAATGTCATGCACGTTTCAAGGCCTCGACACTAGATCAGTTAGCATTATGACATAAGAAACCGAGAAGAGGACACGAAAAATAAATCTAGAAATTTTTAAATGGTTGTATTTATGTATTTATATGCTGTTGCCCCCCTAAGACTTTTAAACTGTGGGAAGAGAGGAATCCTTATTTCAACCGTTGAAAATACAAGGTTATAACATACTAGAGTTTAAATAGATTTGGTTTAATGATGTTCTAAAGAAGGAATAATGTTTTATTACTTACTGATTTCTAACAGAAACTGCACGTCTTCCTCTTTGAAGAAGTGTTGGTGATCACTCGTGCTATCACCCATAACGAACAGCTCTGCTACCAGCTGTATCGGCAGCCAATTCCCGTGAGGGAACTTGTGCTGGAAGACTTGCAAGATGGAGAGGTGCGACTGGGTGGATCCATACGTGGTGCCTTCAGCAACAATGAGAGAAGTATGACTACACCTTTTATTTGCTCATACAGGATCATCATAACCTTACCACGCTTGCCAATGAGGCATCAGGATGTTTTCTCTAAAATTCACATTATCTATATCCAACATCTTGATTTTTATTTCAAGCTGGCTTATTATCTTGTTCTTGCTTCTTTAGATTGTTTCTCAAAGTTCACTATATTGATAATGGGGCTTCTCCACACACCTGCTTCTGTACTGAATTGAGAAGGGGAGAATACGTAGGATAGAGTGGCAAACTCACAAAATTATAAGCAAGTGTATTTTGAAATCTTTAGCTGTTACGACTTTCCTTGTATTATTGCTTGTATGACTGCAATTCCATAACTCTTTCAGCTGACAGGTGATTAATGTAGTCCTCAGTGTTACGAGTGCAGCTATCCATGTTAATGCCAAGAGGTAAAAGTTAATGTCCTCTTAATCAAGAATATTACAAAGATGCTTGTTTCTATTACAAGAGTCCTTTGAATCTCACCTTGTGAAACTTTGAGGGGTTTTCTTATGTATTCACTTTATTAGTGAAATGAATGGAGGAGATAAGGCAATATCCAGCTGACACAAGACACGGTATTCAGTGAAGATTTGTGGAAATCTGTTTTGCAGAGAAGTAGGAGGAGAGGGGCTGAAGTGTGGGAGAAGCCTTAATTCTGCTGATTCACCTGAAGTTTTCTGGGTAGCTCATGCATGGCAGAACCAAAATTGTTTAATCCAGCAATACGAAATTATTAAAAGTGCTTGTGGAGTTCCATGTTGTTGCCCCACAAAACAAGGAGATAGCTAGATAATTAGATTCTTCTCTCTAGTCTGACACAGTATCGGCGGGAAAAAACATAAGTCAAAGATTTTGCAGATTCTGTTATTTCATAGAATCATAGAACGGTTTGGGT